CGGACAACGCCCCCCCAGCCGAGAGACGCGTCCGTACCGAACACCTCGGGGCAAGGCTGCGCCCGAAGGTCGGTTATAGCCGTAAAGGCTAAAAAGGTGCAGGCCAAAAGCTCGTCGCGAACAGAAGGAGGCAAGTCGTATTCAATGCCCTCCTCGGTCGCCAGGCGCGACAGGAAGTTGTAGACGTGCGTGAAGATGGCGAGCATCGGACGGCGATAGAGGAACACCTGGACCCAGCAGCCCACAAGAGAGGCTAACAGGGAGCGTGTGGTGATGCCGAGGTAGATTTGGATCAGGGTCAGCCTGCACAAGGCCACCGTCCGCACTAAGGGAGCGCAGACGATGCCTATGCGCCCTTCCACCTCGGCGCCCACCACCACCTTGTGCGTTTCGCCGCGCGCGCGCTTGCCTGGATGCTGAATCAGGCCCACGCGCGGGTAGCCTGCATCGCAGGCGGCGAAGACCTCACGATCACGACGACAGGGGTCGTCGGGGCGAGGAGCGGAGCCATGCCACGAGAGCTTCTGAAAACCTGTATGGTCATCAATATTCAGCATCTCGACAAACGGTCCCCGCGGGAAGGGCGAGCGGTGGACAACCTGCTCGTGAGGCCGCAAGGCCCCGAAGCTGTGCAAGACGCCTTCATGTGCAGAGTTGGCAATCTCCACCGCCATGTTGTCGCCCATCGCTAGAGCATTGAGGCAAGGCGCGACGTCCACACCTTCGAGCTCGGGGCGCCAGGCTCGAAAGGCCTTGAAGCGGGATGATGGCAGACGAACGCGAAGGGCGTTACGCCTGGCGCGCGCGGGAGGAACGCGGAAAGTGTAGTAAAACTCCCGTAGGTCGTCGCAAGAAACTGCCAGCCACTCCCCAGGCGCCAGACCCAAACGGCACAGCAGGAAACCCTGGCCAAGGCGCTGGGTGCTGGACGAGATTGAGGCACAGCGGCTGTTCACGACCGTTGGGTTCAGGATCAGCCTGTCGAAGTCGCTGTCCTTCGGTACCCTGAAAGCTCCGCAGGCTTCATCCCAGGCGAGGTCCGAAGCAGGAGTCAGGTACAGGGCGCCGCAGGCATCCCACTTCTGGAGTAGGGCCCACAGCTCGGCGCGGTCCATATGGACACGCGCCCCCTTTTGGCCAGCAGGCCACTCTGACGCCGGGAGCCGCATCTCCTCTGGATTGATGAACGCTTCGCGGACTCGAGCGTCAGAGAGAAATGGAATGGGATCAAACTCTGGCGAGTAATCCCACTTAATGCGAGACGCCCTGACTTTTAAATCGAAGGGCTCGACCTGGGTGGAGTCCCAAGCCGCCGCAGACGCCAGCGAACCAGGCACGGAAGGAGCGCTGGTCGGGCAGTGCCGCATGGGGGCGGGCACGGAAGAAGAGGAGGTGAAGGAGGCCTCCAAAGCTGCAACATGGGTGGCCAGGCCATGGAGCGAGACCTCAGTAGAGTCGAACTTGGCGAAGGCTCGACCTAAGTCGCTCTTGCCGCCACGGGCAAGGCGAACTGCGATCCGACACAACCGTTCGATACGGGTGCGGACGCCCTCCTGGCAGGGCGAGACCGTGGCGCGGACGCGAGCCTCGGCGGGAGCGAGGCTAGGATGACCCAAAGTGAGCCAGTTCAACGCAATAACAGAATACTGCGCGAGCGTCCGCGCCGCGCGCCGCAATCTCCAGCGCTCCCTGCGCCTCGCCGACAAGCCGTCAGGCGGGGGACCAAGAGGTGGAGCAGGCGGGCACGGCCAAGGATCGCGGGGAGGCGGCCCCAAAAGGTACGGGTCGTCCCTGTCCATTGCACGCATTGATGAGCGGGAGAAAGATCCAAGAGAACATCGAGCACCCATCCCAACCTGGGACAGCGCTGCCGCCCAGTGGGTGATATCAATGTTCGCGCCTGGAAACAGGCGCAGCAAGGCAGACAAGTCAGCGACAAATGGCGCGACGTTGGCAAGAGCAGCAGGGGTGCTTGAAGGAGAACAAGCACCAGCAAGAACACCAACCTCAGGGGCTGCAGGCCCCATGGGGGGAGCGCTCGACTGAGGCAGGTGACGGCCAAAATGGCCGAATGGATCCGAGGGGCGGTTCGGAGCAGAGCGAGGGGCGCGGTGGCGGAACGTACTCCTCCCTGCGGGGCCGCAACAGCATCGCTGGAGGAGCGCATTCCTACCCTCACGCCCTCGCTGCGCCCAAACACGCCTAGCAGCCGTAGCAGCGTCGGTGCAGACTGTCTGCGGCGGCGTACCCCGGCCACGCGAAGGCCCCCCCTCCAAGAAGGCGGGCGCCAAGGGCATCTTCAGTCCTTCTTGGGCACCGCCTTCGGGGCCTTGGGAGCACCCTGAGACTTGAAGGGGGGCTTTGAGACCTTGGGCTGCTTGGGCTGATGAGGTGGATGCTTGGGGAGCGCGACGGCGCGCTCGGCGTCGAGGCGCGCCCGAAATGCTTGCAGCTCCTTCATGTATTCGCCCTGCGCCGACAGCCAGCGAGGATCCACTAGGGGTGAAAACGGGGTCTGGGCCTCGCGCTCCGTGTGACGACTGGTCACGCGACACGGGGGAGGCTCCAGCCCCGTGAGGAACCAAGCGGCCTCGAGGTAGCCGCGGTCCCCCGCCAACTGGTCGATGAACATGCACTGGCAAGTCAGCAAGGTCTGGACCCTCTCGGGGTTGCCCTCCTCGCAGGCCCGCCACAGCTCGGCGCTGAGGAAGGCAAAATGCGTCAACAACTCGTGCGTCGACGGCTGAGCCCCGAGGGGGCTGTGCTCGCGAAAGTACTGATGCATGGCCATGGGGGTCACGGCGCTGACTTCCACGCCCAGAACGCGGGCCAAATTCTCCTTCATCAGTCCTCGCACGTCGGGGCCGTGCTGCATCAGCGCTTGCTGCCACTCGCGCCTCCGAGCGATTCCCCCCATCTGAGCCGATGCGTGCGCGGGGTCGCCCGAGGTCGCGGGCGGAGATTGAGCTTGGTCGCTCAGGGTCCCCAGAAGCGGGTGGAAGGCTGGGCGATGGCCCCGCCCCTGCTGCAAGGAAAGGGACTGGTGCAGGCACTGAAGCATGAGGCTGAAGTCCGTCGGATTGGCCGCAAGGGGCGGCTCTAACCCGTCGGCGCCGCCCGCCTCGGCAAAGCCGTCGACCGCAGCGGGATGGGCTAGCCCAGGCGGCGGCGGGGGGCCCATCGGTCCGAAAGCGGACGAAGGGGCCCGAGGGACAGCAAGAGAGCGCGCCTTCTCCCACGCCGAGACCAGCGCGGAGGTGGGTCCCTTGGGGCGCGCGGAGACCCGATGTGGGGCCACGGGCGCGTGGGACAAGACGGCCTCGATCCCCGCAGGATCCAGCCCGAGGCGCGCCGCCTCGTCGCTGAAAAGCTGAGGCACCTCGGGCCGAGCGCTCCGGGCAGCCGGAGCGGGGCCCAGCGGTTCGGGTCCGCCGACCATCGTGGAGGCCGCGTGGGCTGCAAGCAAGGCGCGCATTTCGGCAGCTACCTCGGCGCGGGTCATGGGAGCCCCGTCGTCCAGAGACGCCGCAGGAGCACCAGGAGCAATCGGAGCAGGACCCGCGACCCGTGGCGGCGCGGCGGCGCCAGCGCGCTTGGCGGGCGGGCCGCGCGGCGCTCCAGCGACCGCGGGGGCTCGCGCACTTGGGGCCGCGCGGTCGGCTTCCCCGTCGGCCGCGAACCCCTCGGGCTCCTCCATCTCGTCGGCAGAGTGGTAGGGGGTAGCCCGATCGGCCCCTGGGAGAGGCTCTTCCCCTGCGGTAGGCGGGGCGCCGTGCAAACGAGCGTAGCCCTCGCGAAGCACCCGAACCCCCGAAGGATGCGGCCAATAGACGCGGCTGCGCACCTCGGCGAAGGGAACGATGCCTGCGTCGTCGCCGACCTCTAGAGGGTACAGCGACTCGAGCTCGAGCTCGGCAACCTCGATATCTATAACGAGGACGGATGCGGTAGTGGCGAGCGGCCGTGAAGCGGCCCCCTGGAGCTGGACGTCCACTAGCTGGAAGGGGCCTATCATCCCAGCAAAGCCATCCGCCTCGGCAGCCTCGAGCTCCGCTGTAGAGCGAAAGGCACCAGGCAGGGCCAGCAGGATGCCCCCTTCTCGAGAGGCGAGGGGGATAGCCGCCCAGCTGGTGTCGCCGTCGTCTAGGCGCCATCGTGCGTAGTCGCGCGCCGTGGGCGCAGCGAAAGGGTAGAGCTCGGGCCAAAGGGGCCCTCCGCCAACTGGTGGCAGCTCCGCCATCAGTGGGCGCCGCCGTGGACGCCGCCGCCCGCACGCTGGGCGTCTGCCCGCTCGAGCGCTTGAGGTCGAGGCGGAACCCCGTAGGCCAGCGCTCGCGCCGCACGGCGGTCCTGCTCAGGTGAAGCAGAAACCGCGCCGCGCGGCCAGGCGGAGGGCCAGAGCCTCCGCCACACGTACGGGCCCAGCAGCCCGAGGCAGCAGCCCGCGCAGGCGCTGCAGGCGGCCGTCACCCAGAGGAGGGCGGCGACCGTGCTGAGCAGCCAGGGAGAGACCCCGCCGCTCAGGTCCACCGCCAGCCCGAGGCAGACGGTGGGGCAGGTGGAACCCGCCGAAGGGAGAGGGCAGGAGGCCCCCTCACCCTCGGACGAGTCCGCCTGCTGGATGGACCAGGCAGGCGATGGAGGCCCCTGGTCCTGAAGCACAGAGAGGGGGGCAGCCACGAGCCGCTCGTAGAGCGCGGCCCGCAGCCCCCTGAACAAAATCTCCCCAGCGCCCTGGAGAGCCGCTTGTGCGACCGCCTGCATAAGGCGCCCGCACGCGCGGCCGACGGGGGGCACTTGGGCAGAGAAGCTGCGGAGACAGCAGGAGCTTGCTCACAGAGAATAGAAGAGGCATGAAAAAAGGCCAGACATATTCCACAATGGTCAAAAATATTGAAAAAGTCGTCCCCTGACTATTGCTTTACTATTTTTGAATATTCCTCCTGAAGAGGGACACGCCCGGCTTAACCCAAGGCCGTGGCTTTGGAGCTCCCGCTGTCCTTCGGGGTCGGCGTCTCCCCCCCGCACAGAGCCACGATCCGCTCGTCCACGCCCACTGGGCTGTACAGCGCGTGGTGCTCGGCGGAGCATCGGTGGTTCAAGGATGGGATCCGAGAGGTGGGGGCCTAAGGTTAGGTCGGGCGTGTCCCCCATACAGGCCGATCTTGGACGAACAGAAACAATTGTCCAACACTGTCTAAAAATAGTCAAACATAATCAAAAAGGAACTCAAAACATCGTCCATTACTTTTTTGAATACTCCTCCTGTAGAGGGGCAGGCCCGACTTAAACCTAAGGACAAAGTGCTTCGAGCAATGAATTCTACCCATGGGTCCCTTCCTATCCTCAGGACCCCATCCCTCAGGATCCCGTCTTTGAACCACCGAGAGTAGTGTGAGATGCGCTCCTGCGACATCAGCTCGCTCCTGGCCCTGAAGAAGTAGCACGCGCACGTGAGGCGGAGGGCCTCCGCAGAGCAAGTGGTGCGGACGTGCACTTCGATAGAGTCCCTGTAGTACTTGCCTGATGCCACGCCCTCCAGTATGTCCAGCCCTGCCAGGGTGCTGTCGTCCACCTCGGGCGGGTGGCAAGGGGGGGTGACACCATTGGGGGGTGAAGAGAAGGGCCCTGGGCCCTTTAGGGTCCCTGTTGGCTCCAAAAGGGGCCCCAAATGCCCCCTTTAGTGCCGTGTTCTTCACCTCCAATATGGGCACCCCCCATTGCCACCCGCCCGACCACCTGGAACACTTCGCCCTCGATCGCATGGCCGGTATCCGGGACGTCCATCAGAACAGGAGCACGCGTTGGCGGCAGTATGTCTGCAGGCCGAATGACCAGCGGGAACAACTCTTGGGTGCGTGCTAAACCAACGAACCTCGCACCGCCTCGATTCACAGAGACTTCCAAATACCGCTTGTAGTTGGTGAGACCTCTCTTCAACGTCCCATAAACAAACAACAAGTGATGCGTGGCGCTGCCACTCAATTTTCTGCGAACGCTACGATCGCAATTGCTTGCCATCACCCGGGTGGTTTGCTGGCGGTTGGCGGTCACCTCAGAACAAACATCTGTGCCGGAATGGCTGTGAGTCCTTCCGATACTGGATTGTCTGATGTGCCTGTTTCCCACCACCATTCGTTGGAGGGGGAAGGAGGAGGACGAGGAGGAGGACGAAGAGGAGGAGGAGGAGGACACCTTCCCCCTCCACCTTATGGTGGTGGTGGACAACAGGCCCATCATTGTCCCGTGTCGCCCCTAGGACGGAGAACGCGCACGGAAGGCGGAGCAAGAGGATGGGGCACGTGCCGGGGCAATTTCTCAACTGCTGGGCCCCAAGTCTGGGCCACCATTGGAGGATTCGCGTCTCCGCCCGCCTCTGTCTGCAGCGTTGACCCCAACGTCGTAATCACGGCGAAAGAATGGGGTGCGATGAGATGCGGAGGGGCAGAAGGAGAAGGAGAACCAGAATTAACACCAGTGCCGCCCTCCCAAGCCCCAACCCCCGTTCCCCTCCTGACGAGAGCAGGAGAAGTATCAGGAACAGGAGGAGAAACAAGCGCAGGAGGAGCAAGGCAAGCAGACCACGTGCCGAGAAACACGACCTTACATACACGCATACACACACATATATATATATATAGATATATACATATCTATACATATATATATATATATATAGCTATAAATTTAAATATAAGACTGCAGTGGCGCTTCGCGCCATGCATCTTGGTCCTTGAAGTTTGGTATGCAGGCGGAGGAGCAGGAAGGTCAAGCCGACAATTTAGCGATAACTCCTTGTTGCCTTTTCTGGCATCGCCGCTATAATAATGTTATTTGTTATCCTTCCTCCGTGCTTCTTTTTCCTCATTTTCGCCATGCCCTGCGCATTCTCCCTATCCTCCTCAGCTCTTTTTGAGGAGGCTCCTCCTTGGAGAGCCTCTGGGGGCCCCACAAAAGTTGTTTCAGGCTTTCTAAAGGCCTTCTGGAGGCCTCCTGGGCGTGTTCTGGGGGCCTCTGGGGGCTTCCTCGGGCCACCCTGCCTCCAACCGCGGTCTCCCTGAACGACCGGGTCACGATTTGGAATGCTTCGGAGGGTGTCTTGGGGCCATCTTGGGCCGCCATGGGGCTCTCTGAGGGCCATCTTGGACCCCTGTTGTGCTGTTTTGGGGCTCGCTTGGACTGCCTGGAAGCCCTTTCGGATGGTTGTGGGGCGTTTTTGGAGCCTCCCAGGTGGCTTCGGACGCCCAGAAGACCGCCGTCTTGGAGCGCCGGGAAGCCGAACAGAGGAGAACCCCAAAATTCACCAAAAAACAACAAAAATCAATGATTGTTGCCTCTTGGGGCCTTCTTGGGAGTGCTCTTGGAGGCCTCTTGGGACGTTTCGGGACGATCTTTGGGGGTATGACGGCTTCTTGGTGGTCGTCGTGGACCGTATTGGGGCTTGCTGGGGTCGTTTCGGGAGCGCGCCACGCCCTGCGAGGCTCGGGGTGCCGCTTGGAGGCATGTCTGGAGGGTCCCAAAGCCCCAGATCCCGGGAGTCCGGTTTTTTTGGGGGGGGGCCCCGCCCGGGCTTATAAACATATCGGAAGAGGAACAGCCCTCTGGGGGGCTTGAGCACCTCGCGAAGGACTCCCCGCTCGCGCCGTAGCAACAAACGCCCCGAACGACTCCTGTAGTGCACGTGTTCAGTCTGCTGCCCTGCGATACTGCTTCTCTCTACACCCTCAACCAGAACGAGCTAATTGTTCATGGCCACCCTCTTGATGAATCGCTTCAACTGTTTCTCCATCTCCTCTCCACTGTTTCTCCATCTCAGACGCCTGCGGCTTACTCACACATCCCTCTCCCTCCACTCCACTCCTTCTCTTCCTCACTCTGACTCACTCATACTCAGACTCACTCACACTCAGACTCAGTCATACTCACACTCGCTAAGACTCAGGCCCACTCGCACTCAGACTCACCCACACTCAGACTCACTCACGTCCCCCTCTTCCCTACTCGGACTCATACTCCGACTCACTCACACCCAGACTCACTCACCTCATTCTCTTCTTCACTCACACCCAGACTCACTCACTTCATCCTCTTCCTCACTCGTATTCAATGATACTCAGGCTCGCTCGCATTTACTCGTGCAAAGACCTGCTCACACTCAGACTCAGACTTACTCACAATCAACCCCACTCGCACGTGGAGCCCGCGGGTGTGTAGATGTTCCGGGCCGCCGACGTCAAGGAATAGAAGGCCGTGAACTCGAAACCCGTTCGGATTCTCGAATCCGAAGAGGCGCGGTCGGTGAGGAGGCGATTCCCAGATCGCAACATCTCGTCACGGAAGGTGAGGCGCTTCAAGCCGGTGGAGGGGGTGGGGGAGGTCCCGATTCCCAAGAGCCGGTGGTTCGTCCGTGGGCATCAAGACTGGACGGAGAGGATCTCCAGGTGTACGCCTCCACCCCACAGGGCGAGACGGTCCTTACCGCCCTCGAGGCGATTGCCTCCCTGGGATGGAGGATGCAGGTTGCCGACTGCAAGAATGTCTTTTGCCAGCCGTCGCCTCTGGAGCGACCGAAACTGTCCATCTACTGCGAGGGGTGCGGCGGGCTGGGGTTAACAAAAAACAGCTCGTGGAGCTGGTCATCCCAATCTGCGAGCTCAACGACGCCCCGTTGATGTGGCATCGTGCCGTCACGCACTGGCTGAGGGAGCAAGGATTCCGCAAGGGGATGCTGGATTCATGCCTCTGATCGAGGCGATCCAAGACTGGATCACTGGACGCCCTGGTGGTGATAGAGGTTGACGACCTCATCATTGCATCCGCGCCCGAGGCCCAGTTCAAGGACCAGATCACCAAAAGGCTTCGTTTCGACAATTTTCAGGTCGGCGAGCCCGAATACGCCGGCCGCCACCTGCGTCAGGTGGGCAAGAAGGCCATAATCGAGCAAGATAACCACATTCGGGAACAGCTTGCTCCTATGCCTCTGGGTCGCCATAGGCGAGCCGATCTGCAGCAGCCGCTCACCAACGCGGAAATCTCCAGCTGCCACACTCTGGAGGCCCAAGCTCGGTGGGTCGCAGACAGAGTCCAGGCGTGGCGCGTCTGGCAGCGCCCCGCTCCTCTCAGGAGCCCTGCCCGCCCCTCTGGTTGAGGATGCCGCAATGGCCAACAAGGTGTGCCAACACCTCAAGTCCGCCGCGGCTCAGTACCTCACGATCTGGCCCATCGACACCCGCTTCGCCTCACCGTGGTGACGGACGGCCTCGGATGCGGGGGGGGGGCCAGGCGGCTCGGCCCAGGACGGAGGGGCTCGAGAGGCCTGGGTCGTGATGGCGGCCGACGGCACCATCCGACTCGGCAGGAGAGCGCGCGTGAGAGTGCTCTCATTGGAGTCGCAGCGCCCGATCCGAGCTGCGGCCTCCCCTGGGGCTGGCGGAAGCACCGGCCCTCTCCTGGGGCAGCACCGGAGGCCAGACGGCTCCAGGCTGCCTGGTGAGCTCTGCATGCCCGTTGACGCCTCTGCCCTCCACGGGATCCAGGACCCGTCTTCCCTCGGGGTCCTCCTGCCTGGCACGTGCGACATCGGCGAGAAGGCCCTCCAGCCTGTCCGTGGCAGACGCCGGATCGATCTTAGACACCCTCTCCTGCTGCGGGGAGCCAGGCCGACCGCCGTCACGCGATCGAGCTGGCGATCGTGAGGGGTGCCACGAGTGCCGCGGGCTCTCAGGTCCGCTGGGTGCCGCATGGGCGCATGCCCGCGGACCCCACGACTGAGGTCGACCCTGGCCAGCTGAAGCCCTTCCTCCGCGGACTCCTTGACGAGCGGATCGATGTGTCTGATCGATGAAGAATGGCACCTCAATGAGAGGGCGCTCAGGGAAAGCCTCAAGCCACGATCAGGAGGAGCATCCCAAAGAGCCCTCGACGAGGGAAAACTCGACGGCAGGAAAGGGAAGGAGGAGGACGAGCAGGAGGAGGATAATGCAGGCGCAGGAGAAGGGAAGCCGAAGATAAGCTCGAGGAGGAGAGAGAGCAGAGGAGGGAGGAGGAGTCAAGGTCGAATCTCTGGGCGGACTGGCGTGGGACTTCCCATTCGGGTGTGCGATGGGATACCGAAATTGGTCCCACAACAAGTTGTCCGGCTGTCCTCTAGTACCCCACTTCCCCCTTTGGAATGGACCCCGTTTGGATCCTGATACCCCCCTGTGTTACGAATGCGACCTGTGAACAATTCGTGGATAGTATGTTTGCACATGTGCTCTCATCGCCCGCAAGTTATTTTGGCCTAGGCGAGCTGCTCGGATGCTGGCGTGCTCGCGTGGAGCTCGATGCTCATAAATGGACCTCATCCAATCCCTTTGTTACCTTTGTCGAGAAACCTTCAGCCGACAGAAAGACAACTAAAACTTGTTCCGACGTGAACGCCACTCTGGCTGCCAGGATGGGCCGATCACCCGCGAATACCTGCCAACACCGCGACGCATCGTTTCGTGGGTTGGGGGTATGGGGCCAATACTTCGCCACTTCAGTCTCGGCGTTGGTGGGTCATTCGGAGCTACTCAGATTTGGGAGGTCCTGGCCGATGGCATGCGCTCGGCATACAGCTGCGCGGCATAGAGCCGCCCAGCGAGGGTTGTACGACGCAAAGGCTCAGATGTACTGCAGATTAAAAAGGAACTGGCTGCACGGGCGCACACAAGGTGCAACCCACAATTGACACTTATTCGCGGAGACATGCGCTATGATCTGACAAAAGGCTCAAGAGGGTCAGTAAAGCAGCTTGACGGACAATGCTGTGCGCAGGCGAGGCCTCCTAAAGGGCGGGGCCACCTAGAGCTCCGTCTCGACATCCCCCTTCCCCTATGTGCAACGCCCGCCGCCCTTTGGTGAGACCTCGAGTCGCACGCCGTCGCTGCAACGGTGCCAGCCGTGGCGCCGCAGCAAATGCCTGTGACTCCTCGGAGGAGCTCAAAAAACAACGCATACGAATTACATAAAACACCATGCATACGCGCGCGCCACGGCGCAACGCTCCCTTCCAGCTCCGCCCTGTGGCGATGGTGGCGCGAGGGAAGGACAAGACGCTCATGCACAAAAACGTCGTTGCATTGGCCCGGCTATTGAATCCGTTGATTATGCGCACAGAGGAATGGGCAGATGCTAAGGCCTCACGCCAGCCCCCATACTGGGATGGCCGCTGTCTGAGAGCCCGTGCTTGCGGAGTAAAAGCGTGTTGGCGGGCACCACTGCTGCACCTCTGATGGACCCATTTTCCACCACCACTACCATAGGTAGGAGAGGGAGGAGGAGGAGGAGGAGGAGGAGGAGGAGGAGGAGGAGGAGGAGGAGGACCTCCTCATCCTCTCTTCTCCCAGTCCTGCATATGGTAATGGTGGTGGAAAATTTGCCCATCAACCTCGTTCCACTGGTTCCAGTCCAAGTGGTTGAACTGCAGGCCGCCCGCCGAGACGCGGTCCTCGATACTGTTCACAAGCATCTGCATCTCCGATGGGGATACCTTCATTCGCGCGGCCGCCTGGGCAATGTTGAGAATCTGCTGGGCGGAGAGGCCCCCGGTTACAACTTGCTCTGCCGTCCGGTGGACCAAGACGGCAATGTAGTTCATCACGGCTGGTGACTTCCTCCTGCTGTGCATCAGCGCGATCGCCACGCTGGAGAGGTCCCGCCAGGTCACCCCGCCGAGGCCTCCTGTGATGCGATGCATCATCTCGTCCGCAACGGCGGAGCAGAAGTGCCCCATCGACTTATTCTTGGCCCTCCTGTGCTGCTCGGCGGACTCCGACCGGGTGCAGGCCCAGAGCAAGTTCGCGATGGCCTGCCCCGAGTAGCCCTCCAGCTTGCAGGCGCAGACGTCGACGGCCGCCCTGATGAAGGCCCGCCCCGGGGCGACAGCGGGGGCGGGCCCCGTGAGCTCCAGCGTGGCCAAGGCCCAAGCGATGTTCGAGATCCCCTGCCCCTCGAAGCCGTCGACGTACTTCGTGGCCACCGCGGCCAACTCCATCAGCATCAGGTCCACCTCGATCGGCCGCGCCGCCCAGCCGCCCTGCTGCGCCCCCCCCGCCCTCGACTCGTACAGCTTCGCGAACGACCACGCCACCATGCTCAGCTCCTGCAGCTGGAAATGCTGGAGCTGGGAGGAGGTGGCCTTGGCCAACGCGACGATGGCCAACCGCACGGTGCTGTCCTGTGGCCCCCTGCCGACGCCGGCCGCCCGCAGGGTGGCCAGGGCCCAGAGCACGTTGGCGACGCCCTGGGACGTGAAGCTGTCGAAGAGCGCGCCGTCCAAATACGCGCGCAGGGCCTTTCCCAGGAACGTCTCGACGCCGGGCCCGCTCATCTTCAGCCGTGCCATGGCCCAGAAGGAGTTCGCCAAGCCTTGCGCCGTGGATTCCGAGACCTTCGCGGCGCACCCGCCCACCACAGCGTGCGCCGCCTTGCGCACCAACGGAATGGCGCCAACTCCGCCGCCGGCCGCGCCTGGGCAGACTTTGGCGAGACCCCAAAGCATGTTGGTGAGGTCGAGGTGGGTGCAGCCGGCCAGGACGCGGGGGAGGGCGCTGCAGACGTGGAGCACACATTCCTCCACTCCGTACAGGCAGGGCGAGGAATTCGGGCGGACGCACGCGTTCAGCTTGCCGAGCGCCCACATGAGCCGCGAGAGCTGCTGCGGGCCCTGCAGCGTCGCAACGCCCTGCTGCAGGACTGCGAGCAGCGGGGGCAGCACCTGGCTGGAGAACGCCCCCGACTGCGGGGCGGCCAGCCTTCGTGCGGCGAGGTGCAGCGCCTCCGCGATCGCTTCCGCACTCAGCGCAGGCAGGTTCTGGAAGGCCACCTCCAGCACTCCGCCCGCCGTCTTCTGGCTCTGCATCGTGTGCCACGCCTTGGCGGCGCGCGCGAGCGGCGAGCACAATCCATACCCGCCACCCTGCGGCCTGGATTCCGGGGCGCGACCCTGTAGGGCACGCGGCCGCACGGATGCGTTCCGCACGGGGCATCTGCGAGCAAAACGCCCCGCATCCGCGTGGTCGCGGCCCGGGGCCCGCCCCGCGAGGCCGTGGATACGGATGCGGGTTCGCCCACGAGGCACCTCGACGAGGGGGTGGGGCGTGGGGTTGGGGAACTCTTGGAAAACGTCGTAAAACCCCCGATCCGTCCAGAAGAGCACCTGGCCTTGTTAGAAGCCACCACCCTGGCGCTAACCCCCTTGTACGCCCGGCTAGGCACCGTCGGTTCATCCACACCCAGATCGGGTTTCGCCGCGTGCAAGCTCAGCTCGTCCTCGCTGTCCTCGTCTTCGCTCCAGCGCGGCAATCTCGATGCGGCCGGCGGAGGTGTTGGCACGACCGGCATCCCGACGTCGAGCGGGACCTTGGCTCCCATCGTGGGGTCAGAGAAGCTACGGCGAAGTGTGGTCGCGCACATGTCGTCCTCGTGAAGTTCGCCTGCCGCATGCACACTGTCGACGAACGTGTTCTTCACCACCATGCGGACGGCGCCCTCAGACCCGTACATCGGCCTGTACTAAGTCCGCCACCGCGCTTGCAGCGATTGGTGTGTGTAAGTGTGTGTGTGTGTGTGTTTGCGTGTGTGTGTGTGTGTGTGTGTTTGTGTGTGTGTGTGTGTGTGTGTGTGTGTGTGTGTGTGTGTGTGTGTGTGTGTGTGTGTGTGTGTGTGTGTGTGTGTGTGTGTGTGTGTGTGTGTGTGTGTGTGTGTGTGTGTGTGTGTGGGGGGGGGGTAGCTCGCACTTGTCCCCAATCATCCTATGGTGCTGGGTCCTTCTTTTAAAGTGACAGCGTCCCGCGTCTCACTCCTCCCGCACCCCCCTCCGCATAAACCATCCCCTTCTGCGCACACGGTCAACACGCTCCGTGGTTCCAGCATGCGGAGCTCCACCCAAGGGCCCAGTGGCACGGTTCGCATGCGTCCCCACCGCCCATTTCGGCACGTCTCGTGGCCCCCAAAGTAGCTCCACCGAACGTTCCACCGAAGAACCCTGTGGCACGGTTCGCATGCGTCTCCGCGCCCATTCCGTCGGCACACTCCTCACACGTTTCGTGGCCCCACTATAGGGAGCTCCACCGAAGGCCCCAGTGGAGGGGATCGCAGGCGTCCCCGCCGCCCATTTCGACAAGTCTCGTGGCCCCAGAACTCTGCCGAAGGTCGCCCACTTCGTCGGCACACCCCTCATACGTTTCGTGGCACCACTATAGAGAGCTCCACCGAACCCCAGCGGCAGGGTTCGCTCGCGTTCCCGGCTCCACCGAAGGGCCCAGTGGCAGGGTTCGCATGCGCCCTCGCGTACACAATGCACCTCCCTGCAACGTTTCGTGGCCCCATATGGAGCTTCACCGAACGCTCCCACGTGGTACGAGTCGCACGCTTCCCCGCCGCACATTCCGGCACACGCCGCACAATTCGTGGCCCACTGTAGGGAGCTCTACCGAAGGCCCCCATGGCAGGGTTCGCATACGTCCCCGCCGCCCACTTCGTCGGCACACCCCTTACACGTGTCGTGGCCCCATAGGGAGCTTCACCGAAGGCTCCAGTGGCAAGCTTCGCATGCGTCACTGCCGTCCATGTCGGCACACAGCTCACACGTGTCGGGGCCCCGCTGCAGACAGCTTCACCGAAGGCCCAATGGCAATGTTCGCATGCGTCCCCGCCGACCATGTTGACACACCCCTCACACGTGTCGTAGCCCCATAGAGTGCTCCACCTCGTCCTCATTTCTACTCCCTAGCCCAATGCCATTATTCGTCCTCGTCCATCTCATCTTCGTCCCAGGCATCTTGCTCGCCCCGCCCTTCGTCATAGAATTTGTCTTGCGATACTCGCAGCTGCCTGCGGTTGGGTCCTTCGCCAGATTATGCGCTTGTCGTGCTGTTGTGTTGGCCATTGACATTCTTGCGCCTTCCAAACAGACGCTGATATCAACATCTCCAGTTAAGGCAGGACCATCCACGACGTGTACCCCCCCCGCTCCCCCAGGCGCCACCTCCTCCTTCCCAAGGCGCCCGACCAAGGCCCTTGGCGGATTCGCGCGGCAGCGAAACAGGAAGCACGGGGAGAAGGATATCTGCGGCCGGGTTTCCGAATTGGCCAAGATGAGTGCAGAGGCGTAATTTGAATGCAAGTGGCTGCAGAGTGAATCCTAACCTGCGCACGCACCGTCAATACCAAATGTGATACGTTGCCACCCACCTTGGATGATCTCACCACCCAGCTGAAAAGGTCAACGCCTCTATTTGAGTAGCTCAGTGGCTTTAGCCTGATTGTTCCTAAACTCCAATGGGATTTCAAGCTTTTGCATTTGATGGGCCTCATGGACAGAGTAGCCGTTCTGAAAGATCCTGGCGGTCAAAGGGGGAGGCGGTCTCAAGGGAATGAGCGAGGAATTGAGCAGTGAGGGTCCCCTCCTTTCTTCCCCCTCGCTCCGTTCCCTTCTTATGCTCATCCTCATCCTCATCCTCCGCTTGACCTCTCTTCTTCTTCGTCCTCGTCCTCCTCCTCCTCCTCCTGCCTCCCCTTCTTACTCATCATCCCTCCTACCTCGTCGTCCTCCTTCTCCTCCTCCTTCCCTACCTCCTCCAGAACCCTCCCAACATCTTCCTTCTCCCTCATACCTCCTGCGACGACCTCCTCCTGAATCCTCCCTTCCCCTCGCCGGAATGCTCTTGGCTGCGGGCGTCTTCCCTGAGGCCGCCCCGGCGGGCAGGCGGCGCCCTTGGCCAAAACGAGTCCCAGGCTCCAGAACTTACGAAACCGGCACAGATACCGATTGAAACCGACGGGCCGCAAGCAGGCTACACAGGCGCAGCGACACAGCAACGAACCGACTGCGACGCAACCGAATCGACCGAACTGCGGACACCGTTGTGAAGCCATCCAAGAGCCCATCCGACGACCTTCGATACACCCCCAGACTCCCTCCGGAAACCCTCGGACAACCAACGCGGCCCTCCGAGAGACAGCGGGGCCCTCCGAACACCAGCGAGGCCCAGAGGCGTCGGCATGGCCGAGAAAACTGCAGCCGTTGACCGAACCATTCTTCGAGGAGGAGACCCGACTACAAACTTGAATTACCCCAGAGCTATTTTCTTGTTTCGTAGAACCTACAAGACATGTAAACTACTAGTAGGTCTGCAAAGCTTCTACGTGTCTTCTTCGCTGGTTCGACGACCAATCCAAAGTGGGGGGAAAATCAATTCTGTAGTCGATCGCCTGCTCGAATTCTCCATCCTCCGCTTCCTCCCGCCGGATCCGGCAAAAATGGGGCGTGCAAAGCCCTGGTGTCCGGGGCTCCGCCCTCCCCCCCATCGCTCCATCTCGTCGCGACGACTCCGACGCGAACCCCTCTGTCGCGACGACTCCGACGACGGGCGTCGTCGGCGTTGTCGTCGTCGCCGTCGTCGTCGTCGTTTTCTTCTTCGTCGTGGTCGCCCTCCCTCGTCGCCCTCCTCCCCTCCAGCCCTCTGTCCCCTCCCTCGCGCCGTCTCCGCGCCGTCCCCGTCACCGTCCTCGTCGTCGCCCTCAGGAGCTGTCGATCGACGCCGCCCTCGTCGTCGTCGTCGTCGTCGTGGTCGTCTTCCCTCGCTGCGACCTGGTCTGTCCTCACAGGGCAGCAGCCCTCGCAAGGATCCTGGACGCTCGGCCAAAGGGGCGGCCTTTTAGGTATCTGACACAAGGAGGGGAGGGACCTCTCACTCCTCCTCCTCCTCCTCCTCCTCCTCCTCCTCCGCCTCCTCCTCCTCCTCCTCCCGTTGTCGCCCTGTTCCTCCTCGTCCTCCTCCTCGTCTTCTCCTCCTCCTCTTTTTCCTTCTCCTCCTCCTCCTCCTCCGCCTCCTCCTCCTCTTCCTTCTCAAAGCTCAAAGCTGTGCCAACGCCGTGGCTGCCGCCGCCGTTGCTGCCGCCCCCGCGCCGCTGTCCGAGCAGAGTCCTCCTCAAAAGCGGCCCGCGGACTCCTCCCGAAGTCACCCCCGGCCAATTCTCGAGGCGTGCCCAGCCGCGGCGTCCAGACGTCCCGCCGTGGCGGCCGCAACCATGCTCGCCCCCGCCGCCGCCGCCGCCGCCACCGTCAGAGGTCTCCTGAGTCCCTGCTGGAGGTCCCCGGAGGCTAGAGGCCTCCGGGAGGCCAAATGAGGGCAAGAATGCTCGAAGACCTTACAATCTCAATCGTCATCCTCGCCCTCGTCCTCGTTACCTTGCTGTCGTCGCCATCGCCAACGCCGCCTCCGCCGCCGTCGTCGGCGTCGGCGTCGGCGTCGTCGCCGTCGTCGTCGTCTCCAAAAGTCTCTGGAGGTTCTCTGAGGTCTCTGGAGACCTCTGGAGGCCTTGGAACCGTGTATATATATACATTGCAATACGAGCAAGGGGGCGTTCACCCAGGGGGGGTTGGGAGGGTAGACCTCAATGTTCGTTTTATAAACGAGAATCTATGCGACGGCGACGGCGGTGACGGGCGACACCGCCCACAGGAGCCGCCACTCGCCCCGAGCGGCGGCGACGGCGAAGGCGACGGCGCCGCCCGCAAAAACCGCCACTCGCCCCGAACGGCGACGACGGCGACGGGCGGCACCGCCCGCAAAAACCGCCACTCACCCCGAGATGGTTAAGCCAAGTAAGACCTCCTAAATGCAAGCACTGTTTTGGGGACAACTAAGAACAACAAGAAACGAAAATTGTGCAAGGTCGCGACACATGATCCGCATACGACTTTTGTGCTATTTTGGAATATTCCTCCTGTAAATGCCCGACCTAATCTTCGACGAGAAAACATGCACGCGTCCGAACGGTGCAAAGGCGATCCTCGAGCCTGCGTCGCCGAGCCGGGCGGGGGGTGCGGCCTGTGCGCCCGCGGCCAGGGCTCCCAATAGGCCTGCGCCGAGCGCCTCGCGCCGGGAGCCCTCGGGGGTGGGGGCGGGGGGGGGGGGCGGTGCGGGCGCCGGGCCAGGGGGAGCGGGCTACAGCAGTCCGCATCGATGGACCAGCAAGACGAGGCCAAGGACGAAGTCGGGGGAGGATGAATCGAGAATCTCCGAGACCCGGCGGCTCTGGAGGATGTCTCGGGCGCCACGGCCTTCTCGCAGCGCCCCGGCCCTGTCCAAGTCCCCATCCCCGTCGGGTGCACCTTCTCGGCCGAACGAACGACCACCAGCGCGGACAGCAGTTCGGACCTGCCTGAGACCAGGTGGCCTCTAAATTCGATGGCGTATGGTTAGGCATGCATACGAAACGCATTTGAAAAATTGTGTGGGACGGAAGAGGGGAGTTGGGCGTGGCTTAATGGGGGGGTCACAAATGGGGGGGTCAGAAACGGTCCCCTTTCGTGCCCCTTTCGGGCCCCTCTGGAGCCCCAGGGGGCTCGTTTAGGTACCATTTGGGTACCTTTTCGGACCACCCTCGCCACCCCCCCATTTATGACCCCCCCATTACGCAGCGCCCAAGGGAGGAGGGGACTCCTTGTTGTCGGAGGTGCCTCCTCGAGAAGCACACAAAGGGCACAAGCATGACCCTTCGGAGGTCCGCGCGGGTTTCTCGGATCGTCCACGCAACCCCTGTGCGGCGGCTCCGGCGCCGCCACGTGCGCGCTCCGCGCGCCAGGTAGGGGGTTCCAGCGCCGAACCAAGAAGAACGCGCGGAGCTCCGAAAATGTGTGGTTATGTCATTGGCCGTTCTTCTATCCAACCAGCTGGCGGACTGTTTCCTATCCTACCAGCTGGCCGACCTGCTTCCCCAAGTGGCACCTGTGCCCGCCTGCGAGGCGGTGTTCGGGGGTCCTGGACGGAGATAGGTCAATCGATACAGAAGCAAAGGGGGAGAGAGAGCCGGAACACCTGTGGATCCCGCAACTCGCCATCACTCGGGCGTCCATTCCCCGTGCATTTTTCGGTTGGATGTTTTCTGCCTAATATCTATCTTTATATATGTATAGATTCGCGAAATTCCTCGCCGAGGTAAGCGCACACGTCCGAGCGATGCCAAGGCAACATGCGAGAGGGCGTCGGCTCCCAGAGCGTATGCGGCGAGCTGCGCATCTGGACCCTGGGTGGCCCAGTCTCGTTTTCGAGAGTGGCCGCCTGAACTTTCACGGCGACTAAATCTGATGTTCCTGTCACCCCTGCCTCGATAATCCCGCAAATACCTTCGGGGGCCTCAAGGAAGCGGTGCGGCCCTGGCAAGTACGTCCAGGCGCTTCAGGGAAGACTGGCGACTAGGAGGACGAGGAGAGCGACGAGGAGGACGAGGAGGGCGGGGAGGAGGAGGGCGACGAGAAGGACGAGGAGGGCGAGCACGAGGAGGACGAGGTGGCCCTGGCAGGTACCTCCAGGCGTTTCAGGGGACCCCCCTGGCAGATACTGTACCTTCGGGCTGCCCAGAGGAGCGTCCTGGCAAACACCTGCCAGGACGCTTCCCTGACGCGCCCGAGCTGCACACCGCGCCCCGCGAGTCAAGGGCCACAGTAGAGGCCGATCCACAAACAACCTTCCACAAGAAACCCAACCCTGAGACCCCAGGAAGTCCATTGGTTCTTGGTGCCAGAACGTCGCGCTTCCCACAGCAAAACCACCGACACCCATGGCGCCCTGGAGGCAAGCAGGGTGTTTCTTGGCATGGGTCTCCACTGTAATCGACATGCTGAGCGGAGGTGAGGGTCGGAAGTGAGGAACGGATCATGCAGGGAGAACATAATGAAAGGGGCCCTGGGACACACACAAATGAATAGACACAACTCCCAGGTTCTCATATTTTCTAATGTTGTCTGGGTGTTCTTCTTCCCCCCCACTTCCCATATTCTTCCATCTGTTCTTGGGATTCGACGATTATTGTGTCTGTGTGAGTTTCCCCCTCCTGAAAAGTAAGGGGACCGAAGAACGCTGGGGTGAGAGGGCCGCCGAGTGGGGTACGGTGCATTGGGTACCCAATATCTGGCGTCAGCCACCACCCAATACCGCTTTTCGTGGCCCCACGGGGAGCTCCACCGAAGGTCCCAGTGGGACCGCCCGCATGCGTCAGCCACCACTCAATACAGCGCTTCGTGGCCCGAGAGGGAGCTCCACCGACGGCCCCAGTGGCACCGCCCGCATGCGTCAGCCACCACCCAGCACAGCGTTTCGTGGCCCCAAAGGGGGCTCCACCAAAGGCCCCAGTGGCACCGATCACATGCGTCAGCCACCACACAGTACAGCGCTTCGTGGGCCCATAGGGAGCTCCACCGAAAGTCCCAATGGCATCGCCCGCATGCGTCAGCCACAACACAGCACTTCGTGGCCCCGTAAGGGGGCTCCACCGAAGGCCCCAGTGGCACCGCCAGCATGCGTCAGCCAACACCCAGTACAGCGCTCCGTGTCCCCGTAGGCAGCTCCACCGAAGGTCCCGCCCGCCCGCATGCGTCAGCCACCACTCAGCACAGCGATTCGTGGCCCCATAAGGGGGCTCCGCCGAAGGCTCCAGATGCACCGCCAGCATTCGTCAACCACAACCCAGTACAGCGCTTCGTGAGCCCATAGGAAGCTCCACCGACGGCCCCAATGGCACTGCCCGCAAGCGTCAGCCGCCACCCAGCACAGCGCTTCGTAGGCCCCAAAGGGGGCTCCACCTACAACGCCTCGTGGTCCCATAAAGGGGGCTCCGCCGAAGGTCCCAGTGGGACCGGCCTCATGCTTCAGCCACCACCCAGCACAGCGATTCGTGGCCCCATAGGGAGCTCCACCGACGGTCTCAGTAGCACCGCCGGCATGCGTCAACCACTACCCAGTACAGCGTTTCGTGGGCCCATAGAGGGCTCCACCGACGGCCCCAGTGGTAGCACCGCCGGCATGCGTCAGCCAAAACCCAGTACAGCGCTTCGTGGTCCCACTCGCATGCGTCAGCCACCACACAGTACAGCGTTTCGTGGCCCCAAAAGGGGCTCCACCGATGGTCCCAATGGGACCGCCCGCATGCGTCAGCCACCACCCACTACAGCGTTTCGTGGCTCCGTAGGGAGCTCCACAGAAAGACCCCAGTTGCACCGCCCGCATGCGTCGTCCACCACCCAGCACAGCGTTTCGCGCCACCATCGATTGGGAGCTCCACCGAAGGCCCCAATGGCACCGCCCGCATGCGTCAGCCACCACCCAGTACAGCGCTCGTGGGCCCATACGGAGCTCAACCGCGCCCTTCCCTGGCACCGCCAGCATGCGTCAAGCACCACCAAGCATTGCGTGTCGTGGCCCCATGGAGAATTCCACCGACGGCCCCAGTGGCACCGCCCGCATGCGTCAGCCACCACCCAGGACAGCGGTTCGTGTCCCCGTAGGAAGCTCCACAAGAAGACCCCAATGGCAGCGCCCGCATGCGTCGCCCACCACTCAGCATAACATTTCGTTGCCTCATAAGGAGCTCCAGCGAAAGGCACCGCCCGCATGCGTCCCACACACCCAGTACAGCGTTTCGTGGCCCACAAGGAGCCCCACCACAAGCCCCAACGACACCGCCCGCATGCGTCCCCCCCACCCATTACGGCACGCCCCTCACGCGCTTCGTGGCCCTATAGGGAGCTCCACCGAAAGCGGCGCCCACAACGCATCACTCACAACTGCATATGGTTGGGTCATTCGCCAAAATGTGTTGTTGCTGTTCCTTGTTTTTTTCCGGTGGAAGGAAAACAAGAAACTCACGTATTGAGTGCGGCTCGTTTTCAAAATGTGGCTCTCGCCTGATCGCCGCGCGCATACGTACCAGGAGTGGTGTCCTGGAGCGGTTCAGGATTGCCAGGGCGCAACAATTACGTTGATCCGCGGTGTTGCAGTTTCAGGAATGGCGTTCTGGCGCGGCTCTGGATCGTCAAGATGCAGCAGTCAGGTTGGCTCGTGGCGTTGAAGTCCTGAGAACGGCGTGTTGGCACGCTTCTGGATTTTCAGACGGCTGTCTCCCAACGGGGCGCTTCTCTCAGTGGAAATGAATCCTTGTAGGGGCCTGTGAAGGGGGAGCCTCGAGGGAGGGTGTATTCCAGCTGAGCTTTGGGTTTGCACTGGTCCTCCTCCCCCTCCTCCTCCACCTCCCCCTCATTTTGCTGCGCCGTCGCCCCCCTCATTGTGCTCCGCCTTCTGCCGATCGCAGCGTCAAGCAATAACCACCTCCCACCCACTCCCTCGTTCTGCTCTCCCCCCTCGTGCCAGTCTGAGTCCTCCCAATGCAACATTTAGAAATTGACCACCTTGGCGAGTGGCGGTGCACTTGGACGAAACGACACGTGGACCAACGCAATTCCGTGGTAGAGTCAACGCACCGGGTCCAAGCTCGCTGCGGAGGACCAGGGGGAGAGGAGATGAGGCCATGAGGAAGAGCATGAACAAGAGTAGACAGACGATTGTGGTTAAGAGGGCGCACAGAAGGGTGACAGGAGATGAATCAGCAGGAGGAGACGCAGGAGGAAGGACGAGTAAGGAGGACACATTGAATAACAGTGGGGCAAGTAATATAGGATGAGTTGGGGCGTGGATTGCAACATAGAAGGGCATACTGAGTTTGGAGAGGAACGCACAAATAAGATAGATGAGGCACCACAAGTGATGTTGTTGATGGAAGTGAACAAAATGCGACCCGAGCGTGGGCATGCGAAAAGAAACAATCCTGCTGACTGCTCGCGCCCGGCAGCAAGAAACTCCAACCTGAGGGACGTAACGAGCGGCGCTCATGTCATCGTGCTAGGGGTAAACAGCCAGGACAAACCAGACACGGAGGATGATTCGGACGGTGGAAGGTCAGGCATGAACGATGCTAATGGCAGCTGCTATGCGACCACCTGTGGTTGAGAGCATGCTGCAGAAACAATGAAGCAGAGTGGGATGGGAATTGTGAATAGAAATTGCTGGGATGACGCTCTTCTGCAGATTATCTTTCCACTACAAAAATACAGTTTTGCACACTGATGTTGGGGTTCGAACATTACTGCTCGTCATTGTCACACAGTGGATCTAGCAATGTTTCCCTTCATGAAATGTGCAAGCGGGTCAAGTGTGGAACAGTGGCCTTGCAAAGCAAAGAGGACGACACGCGGTACACGAACATATGAATGTCACATTGTGCTCCCACTGCCACACGCAACATTGTCAACAACAACAACAACAACACCAACCGTTGGCAACGTTCATGTCGGACGGCCAAATATTATCCGAATGCTGCGCTAAACAGGCCCGACACATTCCTGGTATGACATTTACGATTGGCCCTGGGCCCACGTCAGCTTCAGGGTGCGCTGGCGAGCGAAGGCGGCCACGCGAAGAACATTAACGTGAACTCGAGGCAGAGGAAAGGGATACTGCTTGGAGACGAATGTGGTGATCGGCCGAAATAGGGCCCTCACGAACTCAACCACCCATTGCTGTGCACACGTTGTGAGGGATCGGCCCTGCTGGCACACGTAGACATGTTCTCCAGCGAAGCCCCCAAAGGCTGTGGCCGCATGCGGTCCTGCCTGCTATTCCGGCGCACAACTCACACGCTTCGTGGCCCCATGGGGGGCTTCGCCGAAGCCCCTACGGTATGAGGCCTCATGGCGCCCCTCCGCCCACTTCGGCATTTTTCTTTGATACCCGGCGCCTTGGGTCCAAGTTGCGGTCCAGCTACAAGAGGGCTGCTTTTGAGCGAATTACCGGGTCGGCGGGAACAAAAAGAGGGGGGATAGCCGCGGACGGCCAGAAAGCCCTCAAGTCGTATCTACGAGGACCTGAGAGGCTCAGGTCCTCGCTGCTACGAATTAAGAAACATGGCATCGGCAACATTTGTCGAACTCCGCGCCAATTTCCCCGATCTGCGCGCTCCACGCGAAAGGGAGGGGGGGCCCAATACAGCTCCGTGAGGGTCTCCAAAAGCCTGCGTTTACGCAACTGTCTTGCCTCCAGACACTTGCTCTGGCTCGACTCCTTGTAGCTGACGGTGCGCCCCAACGGTCGGCGCGTTCAGCCCATGCTGGCACGACCGTTACGCGCTTCGTTTATCATAATTCACAACGTTGTGCTCTATAGATGTAGGCCTTGGGCCGTGCAATGCATATAACTCGACTTCTCACGAACGTATATCTTAAGTTATGTTGACGTATACAATATAGTAATTGTATCATGTATTTCATATTATACAATTTAACTTCTAATCACACGTACTGCCATATATGCCTCGTACATTACAATACAGAAATGATATCGTAATGGTAGTGCCAATGCTAAACACAAATATGTAATGACTAACGTGTTTAATATACAACGAATATACATATCGTATCCGCGCCCTCGCGGTCTGGATTCCGGGGCGCGATCCTGCGGATACGCAAGCGTACGGATACGATACGTTCGGCGCGGGCCATCCGCGAAACAACGCTCCGTATCCTCGCAGTCGCGGCCCAGGGGCCTGGCCCGCGAGGCCGCGGATACGGAGATGCTTTTCGCCCACCAACGAGCTGCGCTCCTTGGCTGGTGTTCTATGGCATGGTGTCCTATGGTTGGTGCCATGTGCTGTGCGCCGCGCAGCTTGCACATCGGAAGCGACGGAGCCGTCTGTTTGGGATCCACGCGCCAACATCGTTGCTGAAGGATCCACGTGTCCACTGACGACCTTGATTCGGATGTATACATTTTCAGGTGCGTATCTGTAAGCGCCCTGCGGTATCATGCATACGGCGCACGCGAATTCTGGTTTGAACCAATGCCTCTGTGAACTTACGAAGATGTATTATTCATGGTTCGCGTGCAGGGTGAGGCGAACAATCAAATACATGGCCGCCACGCGCAAACACGCTATGCTTGCACCTATGGCCACTGGCACAGCCCTCTGGTTCGTACACGACAGTTCGCGATCGGTGCTGTATGGTCGGTCGCTCTGTTTTCTGTATGGCACGTGCCCTCCTAGTGCTAATGGGAAGAACCTCTACCACCCTTATTGCCATCTTTATGGCTCACGCACTTCTGGTACCATTACTACGGCGCGCTGCTACTGGCATCTATGTCAAACCATGCTTGCACCCAGGGGTTGTGTTGGTATCCTATGGTGCTGGTGGTAGGCCGTTCGTGCGATTGGTATCGTGCGATTGGTGCCTCATGGCGCCCTGTGGTTGGTGCCCTATGCTGGTGCCCTGCAGTTGGAGAACTGTGGCTTCCTGTTGTTGGTGCCTTATGCTCGGCACGTAGATAGTACGTCGGGAGCGCAACAAATTACTGTAATGCCCACGCGCTGGCATCAGTCTTCCGAAGCGCTAGCGAGAAGCCAGGGGTGCCACTCGCATCCAATGTCCGACCGTCAGGAGAACCATTGTAGAACGTACCCCTACTATCGGGATGCAACATGTGACGCCAAGGCGCAAGAGACAGATCGGGCGTGGCATGGCACTTGTTTCGAACTTGCCGCCGTGCTCCAGCTGCTTGGAAGGGTTCCAACACTCCATGGACTCCCAGCCCTACAAAGAGCCGAAGAAGGCCCGACCATAACCAATGGGGATCCCAACCACATGCTCCAATCCAAGGTTTGCGAAACAAAGTGCATTCTTCGGCCCACGGAGCCCGTGCAGCCAGCCACTGCCGCCGCAGCCGCGAATGCCACGGCGGCGCCGGAGCTGCGCGCGCGGCGCGCCATCGCCAGCTGCTGCTGGAGGCGGGGGCTGGCAAAACGGATCACAAACCCACTGTAGGGAGAGCGCGCGCACGAGGACGGGCCGTCACTCCCGCATCCTTGCCGCTGCTGCTCATCACCCTTTCCAGGGGCCGCGAACGGCTCGGGCGACGGCCTGCACTTTTCTGCCAAGACCTGGGCGGAGACGGGGCTGGTGGTGCGCGGGCAATGCCGATCCTGCCCGCCGGCCGTCTCGAATCAACAAATTGTCGCCGCAGCGTCGGCACGAAGGGGCAGACCCTGTTCGGACCTCCGTTGTCGCAGAGGAGGAGAGGGCTGGAGGTGGGGACACGCTAATTATCCGCCTCCTCGGGGAACGCACGTTTGCAGCCTACTCCGCTCCTGTCCTGGTCTTCTTTAGAAAAGTCAGGTGGAAACCGCGTGACTTCTATATGACAACCAATGACGCGATGCCCGAACAAACACACTTTACCCGAGGTTGGGACAACGCCGGACACAGCATAATTCCAACGACATATATCCAAGGGACCACCCAGCTGCATCGGCAGATCATAGCTTGCACATATTTCACTGTGCCATACAGTTAACAGGTGAATTGGTCCACGCCTGGTTGCACACCTTGTGCACCCGCTCGCGCGAATTTGTTTCGAATCGGGCAACGCTTAGCAAATGCGACCCGCATTATTGTTGCTGCGCTCTTCCTCTGCTTCCTCCCTCTCCCTTCCGGCCGCAAACCCAGACAACTCAGCGAGCACACGAGGCGGCCATCAGGCGGCCATGAGCGGCGACTTGCGAAAACCCAGCAAACACAAATACTTAGAAAGACACGTAAGACGCCTGTAGTGCCAATACTATTTGGAGTAGGTGTTTGCTTCCACCCCAGGCACAAGCTGCTCATGAACAGCAAACTCAGACTGGACATCGCGAGCTGGTTGCCCCAATACGGTGTCTGCCACAACCTTGGGCGCCTCTTGGGCCGCCTTGGGGCGCTTTTGGGCCGTCTTGGGACTCTCTTGCGCCGTCGTGGCGCCCTCTTTGGGTGCCTCGTGGGCCGTCTTGTGCTGATTTCTGAAGCATCGTGGGCTGTCCTGGACCGTCGGAAGCACGAAACAGCAAGAACACGAACAACCTTCAAAACCATAAAAAAAACTACTTGTTTAGCCTCCCGAAGGCCTCGTGGAAGACCTGTTGAAAGCATTTTGGCCGTCTTGAAGCCCTCTTGGGCTGCCGTCAAGCCATGGTGGGCCAAGTTTGACACGCTCTTGTGCGGTTTTGGGTGTTCTTGGATCGCTCTTGCGCCATCTTGAACGTCTCTCAGGCCCTCTCGTCACCCCCGTTCCCCTCCTTTGACGCGTTATGGCGCCCCCGACGAATCCAAAACGGCCCGAGGCGAAATCAGTGCTCTCCAGACCCCCCGGGACCCCCTCCACACACACATATATATATGTATATATATATATATAGATGTATATAGATGTACATACATACATACAGACATACATATATATATATATACATATACACAAATGCATACGCACTACATACAAACATACATACATGCATACATACATGAATGCATGCATGCATGCATACATACATACTTGCATGCACCCATACAAAATATGCCTACGCATATGCATATGCAAATGCATATACATATGCATTTTCATACACATGTACATGCACATCTGCATACACTTCTGCGTAAGCGTGTACACATACATATACATGTACAGCCACACATGTGTGTATAACTATATGTATACGTATATATGTATATATATATATATATATATATATATATATATATATATGCATGACATGCATACATGCGAACGCACATGCATACAATCATTCACGCGTGCAGTTTTACATACATACACATATTCATATATGTATATGAATGTGCATACTGATAAGCGCAAGTCGGGGACACATTCATATAGATATATATATACAGACATATATATATATATATATATATATATATCTCTTTACGCATCGTAACATGCACATATAATGTCTAAAAACTGTTAGAACAGTTATTTTGGGGAGACGGTTTAAAACATGATTTTCGCCAGCGCTGTAGTGCGCCTATAGAAAACGAAAGGGAGGCGGTGCAAACTGGATCGCTGGAAACGTCCCCGCGACCGCCCTGGCGCCGTGCGTGCAGGGGCAGATTCCTGCGCACTCCCTCTTGGCGTCAGGCCACGCCTGCCACGCCCTGCGATCCCAGCGTGGATAGAGACTGCGCTCGGGGACCACTCCCTGCGCACCGCGCACCCTGTCTGGGTTGCGAACGAGCCACACCTGACACGCCCGAGCCTGGTGTACCGCACTTGGGGATCATCCCTTGCGCACGCCCTCTGGTGCCGAGAGGGCCACAAGTGCTTTAAGATGGCCTCCAAGATGGCGCAATATGGTCCAAGTTGGCTCACGATGGCCTCATCCGACCGGCGACATGTGATGAACATATTATGCAACAGGACAGGGGAGGGGCTAGACCAGGTTACGACGAAGCCCGGATCGCCCTCCAGGCCAGAAAGACCCTCAGCAAGCCGCTCAGTTCGAGGCCGCACCAAGGCTACACCAGGTTACAGCGAAGGTCGCACCGCCCTCTGGGCCAAATTTGCGGGGCTACGCCAGGATACGATGAAGGCCGTCACCCCTCTGGGCCACGCAAGCGGGGCTACACCAGGTTACAACGAGGTCCGGCGCGCCCTCCAGGCTAGACATAAGGGGCTACACCAAGCTACAATGTCACATCGGCATTCTCCCTGGTACCGAGGTATATACAAATGGCATCGATCGGCATCCATGGAATTCTTCCAGGGGGACACATAAAAAATAGTTATTCGGATGCGAATTAATGGCAGTCGGGATCCGGGGGGGGGAGGGGGGGGGGTCATCATTTTTTAAACGGTTTTGGACATTACACATATATGTGTGCGTGAATATCTCCACCACGGTGAGTCGAGGCAAGAAGGGCAGTGTTCTGAGGTCCTCACGTGCCGCCTGTTCTCTCTACTCAAGACCCTGGGACTGTGATATTCGGAAGGCTGCGGCCGAACAACAATCCAAATTCGTAGGCGTTCCCGCGCGCTCTCGGGCTGCCCTGCATGATTTGTCCCAACCACCCTGTGGTTTTTGATCCTCATTTTGAAGAGACAGCGCTCCGCGCTCTCATTTCTCCCGCTGCCCCCTCCCTCCTCCCTCCTCCCTAGCGCCCAGTATAACGTTTCGTGGCCCCAGAGGGAGCTCCACCGACGGTTCCAGTGGCGTAGTTCGCATGCGGTTCCCCCCCCCAGTACAACGTTTCGGGGCCCCATAGGGAGCTCCACCGAAGGTCCCAGTGCAACTGTCCTCCCTCGCCGCCAGGAGAAAGTAAAACGACCATGGGTATCAAAGCGTACGTTGACATTGATACAGCAGAACAAGCGAAACTCGAGCCAGCAACGATCGTTTAGAAGAACGACGCTTACTGAAAGAGGCAAAAAGATCATGCAAGATCGATAAAACGGAATAACTTGACTTAAATATTGCACCTGGGCGATGGGACGATGTCCGGAGATTCTGCAGACCATGGCAACATAAGCAAGGCAGGCTCCCAAACCTGCAGGGGCAATTGGTTGCAAGCCGTGAGCGAGCTGATACCATGGCAACCTACTTAGAGCAAGTTCAATGGCACGTACGGCCGGCACATTTGGCTGATAACGAAGCTTTGGAACCACCCCGTCCCGTCGACGAGTCGGCTTTCACGCAGCAGGAAGTGGGAGCAGCAGTACGAAAACTCAAATGGGGGAAGGCCGCAGGACCAGACGACATCCCCGCAGAGTATTGGAAGGCAATCTCTCAGACACCTGGTGGATTGGAATTGGTTACAGATCGGTGCAATACAACATGGGCGGTGAGAACGATCTACAAGAACAAGGGCCCGATCCATATCTGTGAAAAATTATCGGTCAATTAACTTGCTTTGTGTGCATGCAAACTCCTAGCCAACCTTCACCTGCATCGTCTACAACAGGCTGGGGCAGAATACCGGCTGACGCAAACTCAATGCGGCTTCCGCCGTGGGCGAAGTACAACAGATGCCATTCACGCAGTGCGTGGTCATATCGAACTCGCACACGCTAGGAAAGATGGTGAGACTACATTTGTCGCCCTGGACTGGACAAAAAAAATGTTATTATATAAACGTCGACGCTCTGTTGGCGGCGCTGCGCCGTTTTGGGGTACCTCCGAAGATGCCTACTCTGATTGGGCATATTTATGAGGCCAGGCAATTCTGCGTGTCCGACGGGGCTATTCTGTCGTCTGAAAGAAAACAGATGTCGGGAATATCACAAGGGTGTCCGTTGTCGCCTTTTCTTTTCGTCATGTTTATGACACTTGTTTTGCGAGACGCAGTGAACACCCTGAGCGAGGATGACAAATTAGACGTGGCTTCTGGAGACCTTTCGGTGCTGTTATACGCCGACGACACGCTGCTCATCGGGAGAAGCCAACGAAATTTACAACATCACTTGGACAACATCGCACTGGCGGGGGCTCAAGTAGGAATGGAATTACATTGGGGAAAATTCCAAATTATCAAAATCAACAACAGCGTGACTCTGAGGACGCCGGCTGGGCAACCTATCCCGGAGAAGCAGAGCATGACATATTTGGGTGCTCCTTTAAACCAGAATGGACAATTGGGGGCGGAGCTAAACAAGAGACTCGGGGCAGCATGGGCCGGCTTCTCCAAATATGACCGGGCCTGGAAGCACACAGCGTTGACCAATCAGCGAAAATTCATTATTCTTCAAGCGCTGGTGACGGCGAAGATCATGTACTCACTCATCACGGCGTGGCTTAACAAGGCCGAGAGGAGACGAGTGGATGGATTTCAAGCCAGATGCTTACGGAGAATATTGCACATACCCCTGGCTTTTGTTTCGCAAATTCCGAATAACGAGGTCTTGCAACAGGCCGGGCAGATGCCGTACAGCGCGCAACTTCTCCAACAACATGTAATACTTTGTTGTAGGATTGGGCGTGCTCCAAACACAGACTTTCTGCGACGACTCACTTTTCAGCCTGACAACGTTCGTTCAGTCGTGGATACGCACCAAAGGAGGCGAGGCAGACCGAAACATGACTTGGCTAAAAGTATACACAAGGCATTGGTTGCACATCTTGGGCCAGAACACAATTGGCCGCTGCTCCTGCAGGACCCCGCCGAATGGCGAACCATTGCGGAGAGTATTGCGAGCAAATCTGATGAAGGCGGCTATCTGTAGCAACTGTGTACATACATTGCACGTGATGCCCGGTGCCTTGGTGGACTTTTAGTTTTCCTGTCTCGCCCACGCGCTTAGGCGTATGGCTTAGCGTAGCGTAGTACAATGTTTCGGGGCCCCATGGGGAGCTCCACCGAAGGTTCCACTGCCCAGTACATTGTTTCGGTCCCAATGGCGCAGTTCGCGTGCGGTTCCCCCGCCCAGTACATCGTTTCGGGGCCCCAGAGGGAGCTCCACGGAAGGTCCCAGCGGTGCAGTTCGCGTGCGGTTCCCCCACCCAGTACAGCGTTTCGTGGCCCCAGAGGGAGCTCCATGGAAGGTCCCAGTGGCGCAGTTCGCATGCGGCTCCCCCACCCAGTACAGCGTTTCGGGGCCCCACAGGGGAGGGTGCGAGGTCCCGACTCGCGCTTCCTGAAATCGTCTTCACTGGTCTGTCGCGCTGGATCCATATATATTTCAAAAGGGATTTCCAATCCAGCGATCGCGTGGGACGTCCTCACCATTCCAGACATCAGACAACTTCGCTCAACCCTTATATCCATTCGAGGTCTTCGATGATCACCCGGGCTCAACGGGCGTGGCCAGAATGATAATGACCTCCCAAAATGCCCCATGATGACCACGCGAGATCTGGAGTCTCGGAACTCGTTTGCTGTGGGCCACTGGCTTGCACAAATCCTTGCTCTGGCCCCCCTTCCAGATGCTTTACCCACACCCCGAATCAACATAACTGAGGTGAGTGCGGCAACGATGATAAACACACATTTTTCCTACGGATCGCAAGGTCTTGCATGCGGACGATGAAAGCTATCGAAGTCCCATGGAGCAAATATGGTGGCTGGCTCAAACCGAACATACTCCAAAATAGGTCGGATGCCTCCTGGACGCAACACTGGATGATCTCAGCCCAAAGAAATCACGCGTTTTTTCCTTCTTTCTGCCTGCAACTTCCGTCTCTCTCTTTCAGCTTCAGCCTTTCTCTTTCTATCCTCGCGCTTCTGGGCATTCGTCCTTGGTTCCTTCTTTTTCTTGTCCTTGCCACCCTCGCCCCTCTTCTCTTTGCCTTCGGCCTTGCTGCCCTGGTCCGCGTCGGTCTCAACGTCCGAGCCGCCGCCAGATCCAGAACTTGTCGATGAAGATGAACCTGAAGAATCGGACTCACTCCCTGATGTTTCGTCCTTGCTGTCATCTGGTTTAGCCTTCATCCAGTCCGGCAACTGCTCTCCAACGAGCATGCCGTTTGGAGTCTCACCACTCCACATCGTCTGCCAAGATGAAACTGGGTTTGCACCAGCAGGGAGAAAACCAACGGCACCAGACGCGTGCCCCATGCCGGGCACACCTGAGCCTACACCCTTCAGCTGCGCTTGGTTCTGGGTGTTCTGTGCGTTAACTGCCCTGTGGAGCGCCTGCATCGGGTCAACGGGCCTCGACGTGCCGCATGATCTGCAACTGCTGCGGCTTCCGAAATTCATGTCTCGGCACTTGGGGCAACACCAATCAGAATTGGTCGGCTGCGAGCTGTTTCCCAGAGCGAGGGAACTGGCGCCCCCTCCACCCCTGCTGGACGTCAAGAGCGCATTTTGCAAAGCTGTGATCGAGGCATTGTTGCTCGGCTTGGCGGCGCCACACTTGCGACACTTTTCGTTCCTAGCGAACTGGGTGTCCCGGCAGATCAGACATTGCCAATCTTCCTCGTCCACGGCCATCGCTCCTGCCTGGAACCTTGGACCTCAACCCGACCAAGGCTCCACGGCACCTGTGCCCAAACGGCTGCCAATGATAGGGCGATGCTAAAGAACATGCTGGCGAGATTCGTGCCGTGGCGATCCTGGTGATGCTACGGCAAACTCACCGCTCGCTGAACAATCGGTTATCATGTGATGTCTTTTGTCGGAGACATACAAGCGGGCTGCTGAAATGAAAAACGATGCACCTTTTCTTCCAAATCGAACCGTGAAACCAAACAGAACGGCAGAACAATCTGGAGAAGCACCGAAGGGGCTCGTCACCAAACAGTAGCGGACCACATGCAAAACTAAGGAACCACCGAGCCCCTTTCCGACCTCGAACTGGACCTTATTTCAACGAACTGTCTGTTAGCCAACCGCAAAATGTGGACAAGAAATTTGCGTGAGGAAGCCTACATCGAAGTCCGACACACCAGTGGCGCGTTCTTCCCGCGTCCCTAACATAGTGACAAGACGAGGAACATATCACAATGACGTGTATCGCTCTGTGGACGCTTCAAGCTAAGTAATTGCACGACTGCGAACGCTGGCGCACAACAAATAATCACTTTGCTACAGATGTATGCCTCTCTCCAACCGCTTGTGAATGCTGCGCGCTCGAAAATACGATACGCTGGGGGACCTTTAACCTTCTACGTAATACGGTCTCGCACGCACTTCCGACAAATGCACACGCCAAACACAATGAACGATACTTCACGTGTGAACTAACGGGCTTGCGTCGACTTGCGAGCACATCGAGGCTGGAGACTCGACCTGCTGTCACGTTTGTCCTCGTCACTCAGACACGAACCGATGTGCTTCTTACGATCCTCTGCTTCCTCCTGATATTGAACCCATATGTGCAATATGCTTTTTATGCACCGGCTCCCTCGACTGAATCTCCCGCGGGACCTGTACAACCCAGCGCGCGCCAACTCCGATCCGTGCCTGGGATCTAATCCAGCCTCGGCGCGGCATGACGGCATCTGGGGCTTGTCCCAGAGAAACGAAATACACAACTACGTGGACGCCTGCGTGCAAGGCGTGGGACCCCTTAAGGATCAAATGGGAGACAAACAATGGCAACGACAGGTGCCCAGCAAAAAACATGTCAAGACAGCGGGACATGCAGGCTCAAACACAAGGCAACACTTACTTTTGCACGAGACAGAGCGGAGCGTAACAAAACTCATGGTGTGTGTGTGTGTGTGAGATAATTTCGAGGTTCCGAATCTGCAAATTATGGCAACGATGCGCCTGCTCTGGAAACCAGCTGCCTTACAACGGGCAGATTGACATTGAACGGCATGTTGCTCCGAACGATCCCCATGCGAAAGCTGCTGCGCATGTTCGTTGTGTATGTGGTCCGTGCCTGATTTCTACTTTGTCTTTTTGTCGGCTATCGCATTCCCCTCTGCGTGGGTTCAAACACGTCTGTTGTGGTTGGTACATGCGCGAGTATCGTGCTCGACGGGCACTTCGTACAACTTTCTGCTTCGGCATGTTGATTTATCATGCTCGTTTCGGACATCGCCCGGATTTGATTCTCGCGAAGGAAACTGACTGAACCGAACGAGCCGAACTCAACAGACTGGTCGCACCCGTTACGCGACGGTTTCATTCTCGGCCGCCGAGGGCGCAACCTATGGCGCACCCGTTACGCAATCGGTTTTATTGTCTGGCCGCCGAAGGCGCAACCTCTGGCGCAACCGACCGGAAACGGTCTTGTTTTTGGCCGCCGAGGGCGCGCCGTGTGGCGCAACCGATCGGCGACCATTTGATTCTCGGCCGCCGAAGGCGCAACCCGTGAAGCAACCGGTAAGGGACGATTGCAGTCTCGGCCGGCGAAGGACCAACCCCTATGGAGCAACCGATCGCACACGGTTTTTTTCTCGGCCGCCGAGGGCGCAAGCTATGGCGCAACCGATAGGAAACAGCTTTATGCTCGGCCGCGGAAAGCGCAGACTATGGCGCAACCTATGGCGCAACCGACAGGAAACAGCTTTATGCTCGGCCGCGGAAAGCGCAGACTATGGCGCAACCAATAGGAAACGGTTTTATGCTCGGCCGCCGAGGGCGCCACCAATGGTGCAACCGATCGGGGACGGTTGTGTTCTCGGCCATCCAGGGCGCGCCCTATGGCGCAACCGATTGGAGACGGTTTTATGCTCGGCCGCCGAAGGCGTAACCAATAGGAACCGTTTGTATCCTCGGCCGCCGAGGGTGTAATCTATGGCGCAAGCGATAGGAGGCGCTTCTATTTTCGGCCGCCGACAACGAAATTTGAGGCGCAACCGACAGGAGGCGGTCTTACTCTCGGCCGCCGAACGCGCGCCCTGTGGCGCAACGGATGGGAGACGGTTGCATTCTCGGCCGCCGAGGACGCGCCCTATGGCGCAACCGATTGGAGACGGTTTTATGCTCGGCCGCCGAGGGCGCAACCTATGGCGCAACCGGTGGGAGAAAGTTATATTCTCGGCCACCGAAGGCGCAACCGATAGGAGACGCTTCTATTCTCGACCGCCGAGGGTGCAACTTATGGCGCAAGTGATAGGGAACGGATTTACTCTCGGCTGCCGAGGACGCAACCCATGGCGCAACCGATGGGAGACGGTTTAACCCTCTGCCGCCGAAAGCGCGCTCTATGACGCAACCGACAAGACACAATTATATTCCCGATCGCCTGCCCCCAACAAAAACAATGGGGGTCATACAACGCGCCGCGCAGGCAAAACATCCACGACATGTTGTATGTTCCATCAACATGCAACTGCATAGTTGCAGCTTGCAGTGCTGCGTTGTACCTGCACGTGGTGTCATTGGCGGCAAATTTGCGCGAATCTCGGCGGACTATCTGCGCGAATCAGACCCAAGACAAAACTCATGCGCTCCGCCGTTTTCTCGCGTCCACGTCACGCCGGCAGATCTCGAGCGCGTGCGTTTCATTTCGCACTCCTGCAGCGTCATGTCTGATTCTCATCTCGCCACGCTACCCACTCCCATGCATCATCCGGTCAGCGAGGCGCCCGGCGCCTCGTTGCGTTTCGAGAGGTACGGGCTTCCCGTTTCGAGTGCGACCCGCATTTGCTTTGCCACGGACATTCCAGCGCGTCCAACCGTTTTTTTAAATATCGCGGCGGTGATCTCGCAAAAAAACTGCGACTATTTTACTTCAGAGCGAGCACAATCTCTTAACGCTACGTCCGCGGCGCCTTGCGCATGCCTGCTTTGCGCATGCTCGCGCGCGCGAGAGCAGGAGCGCCCAGTCGCTTTCGAGCAACGCGCGGTATCGCCCCCGCAGAGCACGCCAAAATGGCAATTTTACGCGCCGGGCAAAGCCTAGAAAAGGGCTCTCGTCTGCCCTATCCTGCCCTCTTCTCCTTCCTTCTCTCATCGACGTGAGGGTTCCAGGCCCCCTATGACGCCCTCCGCTGGCCTGGGTGGTCCACTCACGCCGCGGGGGGGGGATCGGGGGGGGGTTCGGGTATATTCGCAACTCGTCACCACAAGGGGAAGGGGGGGGGGTGCACCGTTCCCTGGGATGGGCATCCCCCCCCTCTTGCAGCTCTCGACCTCATGCCGCGCCTTTTTCCGTCCTTCCCCTTCTCCCCCACCCCTCGCATTCCATTGCCTTCGGAATGTCCGCCATCGGCAACTCTGCCGAACGCAGACTATCGATCTCAGGTTCCAACGCACATTAGCAAAATGGGGCCTGGCGAGTTTCGCATCAGTTTGCCCCCCCCGGCCCCCACAAACCCCCCCACCCCCCCGCCGGTCCCTGCCCCCACCCCAGAATCGCGCGGCAACGCAACTGGGTACATGCATGTATGTATGTAGATGTATGTATGTGTGTAAATGAATGTATATTTATAAACATGTGTATATATATATGGATATAGATATGCGCACACATAAAGATGTTTTTATATATATATATATATATATATATATATATATATTTATTCCCCAACCAACGCTTCCACTCAAAGGGGCCATAGCGAATGTTGGGAGATTTGGCGAACATGCCCTGCGGATTTCGGTGGGCGGCGGGGTTCATGGGTTTGCGGGTTCCTGGGTTCCTGGTCGATCTCGTTATCGATCCGTCCCGCCGTCGATCTCACTATCCAACTCTCTGTCGATTTCACGATCGATCTCACGATCGATATCAGAGCCGATTTCACATAATAGATATCACCAATAGAACGCACGAGCGATCCAGCGATCAATCTCATTATAGATCTCATTCAAACGACTTCACGATCGGTCCCAGGACGACCTTCATATCTTCTTCAACGTCAATCCCATTATCGATCTTGTATCGATCTCACAATCGATATCGATATACACATCTCACTAAATTTCAATCAAGGCCATCCGCTGATCAGGTTCTCTTCTGGTGGGACATATTCCTGTTCCTATGTTCTTATAAACTGAAAAGGTGGGAGAACCCCACTCCTTCCCCCCACAATCGGTCGGGGATCTTCTAACCCGGGTCAATCCAGACCCGGGTCAGCAGGAAACCAAAAACTGCAATGCAGGAAAAACAAACTGCAACGCAGATCCTCGCAAACCCGGGTCAGCCAATAGGCGCGGCCGCCTCGCGGCCACGAACGGCTCCCTAACCCGGGTCAGCCAGAGGGGGTCTTCGCAAGGATCCTGCAGGATCCGGCGCCGTGGCTGACCCCCGTTTGCACTGACCCCCGTCTCAAGGCTCCCGAAACGGGACGGACCCCCAGGCTCCAGGGTTTCCGGGCCCCCCCAAACTCCCTTGCCAAAGGTCCCCCGGCTCGCCACGGACCTCCCAGGGCGTTTGGCCGGGTCTTGCCAACAGACCCCGGGCGATCCGAGCGGTGATCCGATTGGCCGCAAAGAAACCCAAAACAACACTCGGGGATGGACAGACCTCCCTTTAGTAAAACGTGGTTTAGTGAAAACGACCTGAGGCCCAAATCTGGCGGGCGAAAGCCTGGAGAATAACGGCCACGGCGCCCTCTCGAGAACCGAAAACGGACAATTCACTAATCGACGTGTCACTATTGGGG